CACCAACATTTCCTGACCAGCTGCGGTTGAAGCAGCTTTCCTTTACTTATCTCACTGTGATTTGTTGCCTTATTTGGTCCTGAGTTCCAGGGTCTGTAAAAGTGATTCATATTCATTTAAAGCACTGCGTCTCGCCAAGCATTTTAAATGCAATACTCTGCATTTAGCCTCACACCAGCAGGCACCTCCTGGTGTTGTAGCAAAACCTTGCTCTGCTTCTATGCCAGAAATGCACCACGACTGTGCAGCCAGGGCTGTTTCTTTGGGACCCTCATCCCACCTGTGCTGCCCATCTGATGTCACCTGGAGATCCAGCAATTCCCAGGGGAACCCAGGGCAGAGGAACTGCAGGATACAGAGCCAAAGTGCAGCACTGCCACCACTGCCAGAAATCCACAGCTTTTGGCCATGCTAAAGGAAAAAAAAAAAAAAAAGCACAAAACACTCTCTGGTTAAAATGGTGAATTTTTCTCCAGCAAAGTGACAACACATTGCTAGTGAAAACTGCCTTTCATTAGAGCAAAGAGGGGCAAGGGAGATAAAAATGAAATAAGCTGTGCTTGTCTTCCATTTATGTCCTCTTTGCAAACCTTTATGTTTGTTGTTGTTGTTGTTTGTTTGTTTTGTTTTTTCCCTTTAGGTCTCTTCAGCAATGAGAAATCTTACTACAATTTATTGTGCATTTGACTAGGAATTTAGGGATCTCAAATCACAGCCCAGTCTGGCAAGAAATGCTGATAGGTGTAGTAAGAGGCAGGGAATGCTCTGAGCAGATTTTACTCTAAATGGAATAGCCAAGACAGAGGGAAAGTGGGTGAGGAGACTTTCCCATGGTCGCCCTCAGAAATCAGTGGCAAAAGTGGGAATCAAATCCAGATCTCTGCCTCCTCGGCCCTTGGACAAACTGTCCTCCTGGGGAGGACAAGGAGTAAATGTAGCAGTGTGGCTGTGATACTGAATTCCCAAATTGGAAGCCAGCACCCTGCCCTTCCTGCTGCTCTGCCTCATGCCTGGAGCTCTGACAAACTGCATGTGGAATTAGGCAGAGCTCATTTGCCCAGCACTAATGGGAGCAGTTCATAATATACCCACCACGTTGGCCATCATCCCTACACTGAGAAACCTCATCCTCACGAACAGCAATGCATCTCTGCCTCTGCAACAAGGGAACTCGAGCATCCTCAATGCTACAGTGGAGCCACCTGGGTTTTTGGGACTCTGGACCAAGGAATAGGATGACAGCTGTCAGCTCTGCCAGCAGCTGTGTGCAACATTGGCCAAATCATTTGGCATTTTGAGGAGGGTAGAAGAAGACCCAGTTTGGAAGTTTCCAAGTGTGAGTAACTCCAGCTCGCTCTGCTTGCAGGTGTAGAACAGCCACAGCACCGAAGCAACATGCTGGGAGCACCAGCTTTGAGGCAACCCTGGCTAAGAGGCATTTTGCACTACACAATGCAGATACACCACGTGCCTCAGTTTCCCCATCTGTTCAGTGAGGCTTATCATCCCATTTGTGTGGTTGGTGTTGCACTGCCGTGCAGAATCTGATAGAAAGGGGCTCAGCATTTGGGTGAGCATCATTCCAGAGGTCAGAAAGTCCAATCCCAGTGGCTCTGCTTCTTTCAGGCACACACCTGCCCACCTCTGCACGCTGCAGCTGGGTTATGAACTGGCTCACCCACCCACCCAGCATCTCATCCACAGGCAGATTGCTCACGGGCTCAGGAAATCTCCTGGAAAGAGTGAACCTTGTCAGCAAAAAATGCAAATATTTGGAGACAAAGTGTTCATTATGGCAGAACTTGATTTCAGGGTCAACCCTTTTTGCAGCAAATTGTTAGCCAGCTAAAACGTTTATTGTCACCACACTCTGGCAGTTTTGACAGTAGCTATCAAGTTGAGCTTGACAATATCTGCATACCACAGCCATCAGTGAGGCGGTGGAGGCAGTGACTGCAGGCAGAAGGAAACAGTCACCAAACAACTGGAGCACTCCCTGCCTTTGTGACACTTTGGGGTTTTGTGGACTGGGGGAACGATGCCCAGTGACGGAGGTATACAGTGCAGGCTGTTGGTAATATGGGGATGGGGTGAATTGGCAATTTTTATTTTTATTTTTTTCAGATGCAAAACTACATACACAGAACAATTAAATCCCCCCGGTCTGGCAGTGCATCAGCAGAAATCAGACCACAAAAGGACAGAATTTCTTTTGCTCTTTTTCCATGGGAGACACATGGCTTCCCTGGATGCACAGCAGGGAACCATTCAGGTGTCGGTAGAATTTCTGTGATTTCTCCCTATTCTCATTTATACTCTTTACCTCCAGGGTTTAATTCTTCTCCTATTGAGGAGCACACCACTTGCGAGCCCAGAGGCAAATGGCTGAGCTCCCATTGCTTGGTGCTGGCTCAGAGGCCAGGGGATGGAGGGAGCTGGGCCAGCCCTGTCTCACTGGGAAGGGGAAGCAGAAAGGAGGCAGCAGATGGAGTTTGGGGGAATATAAGGATGACAATGAAGTGTCTGAAAAAAAAACCCACCAAAACAACTAAAACAACACCAAAAGGGAGTCAGAAAGGCAGCTACAGGCACAAGACCTGTGTATAATATTGTAGGGTTTCTCTGCTAGACAGAAGAGAGCATCTTCCAGCTCAGGGATGAACTAATGCTGCTGTGCTTTTCTGTCCTCTGAATCTTCACCTTTTCCCCCAGCTAATGCATGGGGAAGGAGGGTTATTCTGGATTCACTGTGAATTGGTTTCATTTCCTTGCTTGCTGGAGCTGAGTAAGGGCTATTTCATCTCAACAGGCTTCTCCCAGCACACCTTAATTTGAGATCTCCTGCATGCAGGAAGCAATGGAGTTAAGTGATCTTGCTGAATCCCGACCGCTGCAGCTGCAGGAGAACAAGGAAGGAAAAGAAGAGAGGGGAGGAGGAAGAGGCACTTTGCAGTCTCCCATTAAAGCCCCAAGAGGCTGAAGATGAGAGAGTGAAAGTTTCAAATTGCCAGAATGTAATTCTGAAAGTCATTTTCCAAGCGCGGAGCTCCCCGCAATGTCACCTCTCATCTTCCAAGGTGGGGATAGAAGAAACAAAAAAGCACAGAATATTCTGCAAAGACAGAGCTGCTAATACAAAGACAGAAGAGGTGTCAGTCCCCAAACAGGCTGTCTGCCACCGCCTTCTTCTGGGAGATCTGTGCAGCTCGGGTGCACCTACACTGGGGAACCATTCCCAGCTCCTTTCCCAAGCCGTATCCAACCTGGGTGAGCGTTCTGGCTGAGCTGACTATGGCTTTTTCCAGCCCTTCTAAGAGCAAGAATATCAAAGAAGTCTGCATATTCAACAGTTACAGTTTACATTTGAATGAAACTCCTGACCTTCAATTCAATACAGTGATTATGTTAATGATTAATACTATTATTAATTTCTTAGCCTTCTCTAGCGAAAGACCATGATGGATGTGCAGGAGAAAAGGTGCACTTAGATATTCACCCCCCTCTGCCCAACCCAACAAAGCCATCCCTCCCCGCTCCCCCTTCCAGCTCTTTGCCTTCAAAGAAATTTGAATTAAGGAGTTAGATGCATTCAGCAAAGAGTTCAGCCCAGGATTTCGTACCAAAGAGCGAATTAGCCTCTTGTTCTACATTCTTTGCTGACCTTTATTCCAGCTGCACCCCCTCTTATGTTTATAAAATAAAAAAATTACCCAAATATACAGGCATGCCCCGCTGAGATAGATTGCATTCAACACTCCTTCAGCTAATATCAGCTTTGTCCAGGGCTCCTTATTACTGGTGCCACCTGTCTCTCCAACCACAGGCTTTTCCTCTTTCCTTTCCCCAAATTACTCGAGCTGAGGCTTGGGTGGGCTTGCCCTCTCCCTGCAAATGCACTTATTTACCCACACATGTCAGAGTGCTGAGTTTTCTTCCTGACAATCAGGCTTTTTGCCAGGCAATCCCTCCCCTCTCCCACTTTCAGAAATGGCACTTTCCCCTCTTAGCACGCCAGGGCTGACCCACAGAAGGAGCTGGCCATGTTTTTATTGAGGGTGATGAGCAGAGTGCAGCAGGCCACTCCACCTACAGAAGACACTTTGCCCTCTGAGGCAGCAGAGTAACAAAGTTCAGTGCTGTCATCCATTGTAATCACAATCCTGGTTAATTTTCCTTTTATTATATTATTATTATTGGATAACTATATTTATGGGGTTTTTTTGTTTGTTTTTTTGGTTGTTGTTGTTTTTTGTTTGTTTGTTTGTTTTGTTTTGTTTTGTTTTTTTCCATCAGGGATGTCAGTAAGTGTTCCTGGCTGGCCTGTAGCCAATTTTCTCCAGCTGGGATCAGTTCAGTCCAATGTTGCCATCTGTCCTTGGAGGCAGAGGGGTGTCCTTTTCCATTTCGGATCTCTCCCAGAAGCGATTCCATTCTCCCTCCCCCCACCTTTGACCAAAGCATCCAGAAAGCTGTGCGTAGCCATGATTGGACTCATGCACTCCCAAACAGACACAGGCATGCAAGAGGTTCAACTGCCCGGGGCGTAGCTGTGAGCATGGTCAATCTGCTCACCTCCAAGGTGACCTGGAGGAGATTTCACTCTCCAAACACAGATGAGATCTCCTGGGGTCTCTATGTCATAGACACAGAGAACTGGATGATCCTTTGGGATCACTCAAGGGGTGGAGGGGATTACACCCCTTCACTGAGTTATTACGCATATTATCACATTGTCTTCTCCTAATTAAAAGCACAAACAAGGAACGGCTCCCCTTCCCCAGCTTCTCCCCCTTTACCCTTTGCACAGCCGGGAGGGGTGGGCGGGGATGGGGTGGTGGTGGGGGGGGGGAAGGCAGATCCATTGTACGGGGCCCCGCGGCGCCCGACCCCGCGGATTGGCCGCCGAGTGCGCTGCAGTGATTTTGCGGCGAGGTCCCATTGGCCGCCGGCACGGATAAGTTTTTGCTCCGGACAGCAACTTTTCTCAGGGATGGAGTAAATCGGACCCTGCCGCTCCCCTTTCTCGCTTTCCCGGCGAAGTCAGACATCGCTCCACGGCAACGATGAAGCTCTGCGGGACTTTCCTCGGTTCGTAACCGTCTGGCGGTGGATGCGGGGGGGGGGGGGGGGGGGGGGGGGGGGGGGGGGGGGGGGGGGGGGGGGCGTTGGGAGGAGTGAGCCTAAGGGGGTGTTTGCTGAGTTTCTCCTGTTTCCCTTCCGAAACACTCGAGCAGCCTCATTCTGCCCAAGCCACGCCTCGGCAAAGGGGTTCGGTGAGCTGGGGGGGTGGTGGCTTCGCAAACTACCCTGCTGCCCTTGTTCTGGGGGGCTTTTTTCCCCCACTAATGGCACAGTGGAACGCCTGTTTCAGAGCGCGGGTTTCATGTCCTCGAGTTCAGCGGGCGAAGCCTTGGGCTCCCTCTCCGTTCGTTTTGCATCGGGCTCAACCCCGAAGGGCTGTGGGTGCGTGGGTTATGTGCGGCCCGGGGCTTTGTCCCGCTACCGCGTATTTCGGCTAGTTACAAAGGGTGAGGAGGGAAGGGATGGGAGGGTGAAGGGAAAAAATCCTGTTGTCTGACACTTCTGTTCAGATTCTTTTTTTTGGTTGGTTTTCTGCTTTGTTTGTTTGCTTTATGCTCCGCAATGAAGGGGTGAGGGTGGGGTGTTACCAAATATAAAGTTGGTTGGATGTGTTTCAGCGCCCGCATTAACCGAGGCTTAAAGAGAAAGTTCTGGGATAACGCAGGTGCTCTCCACAAACGGCGGTGATTGCTCCAATTGTTGCTCGTTAGGGAAGTAAAAGGCTCTAGATGTGGGTCAAACAAAGGCATTGCCTCTTTGGGAAGGAACCGACCAAATCGGGGAGAAGGGGCGCGCCCGAGAGCGAGCAAAGGGTTATTAAAAGTTTTTTTTTTTTTTTTGTGCCTGTGCATGTTGTTCCATCTGCCAGGGGCCTGTAGTGGGCAGGTTTTTTCGCAACCCTTCAGCTGTTCCATATACAATATTAATGCTGGCCATTTCTATTCGGCATACAACAGCACTAATTGTAGTCTGAGGCATTAAGGCAGCCAGCCCATCTGCATAGAAGCTTTCAGAAAGAAACAAGGAAAAAATCTTCCACCCCCAGCTGGTAACCGGAGAAGTTGGTGCCAATTACAAATGCATAAAGTTTGAGAGCTAAATTACTTTGAAACATTCTCAACGAAGCGAGCAAAATGCAGTGCAGTGTTTTTATGTGCGTATTTACACAAGCAATTGCAGTTTTATTTTAAATAATCTGAAAGTTGAAATGCTCGATCTGAATACACGAGCATAAGAGAACAATAATAAAAAAAAAACTGCTGTGAGGACAGCGGCGAGGGGAATCCACTTTAAAAAAAAAAAAAAAAAAAAGAAATAAAAACCCTTTTGGCGTTCATTTCTGCAGGCTACGTGCGGTCGGTTTCTCAGCACGCTCATCTCAAACAACGCTCTGGAGGCGAAAATATTTGAATATTTCATTTTATACCTTCCTGCTGCACGGCTCCCTTCAGGGATGCGGCGGCCGAGGAAAGCACAGTAATTATCTGCTGCCTTCAAACGACTGCAAAGTGACTCCGGAGAGCCGGGAAAGGCGCGCTGGGGTCGGGGAGGCTTTGAGAGCCGGAACGGGCGGGGCGGGGGCGCCGGAGCTGTCCGCAGCTGTGGTGCTGATCCGACGCCCGGTGCGGCTCGGCCCGGCTGCAGCCCCCCCCGGACACATCGCCTTCCCAACGGTGGAAAGATGTTGGCAGGTTTGACTCCGAGATGTTGGGTGATAGGGGAGGACTTTGGGGGCTGAGTGGATTTTTTTTTTTGTTTGGTGGTGGCTGGAAACTCTGGATAAGGTGGTGGTTGGTTGCGCTGCTCGGGTGGGTTTTGAGAGGAGGGGAAGGTGAAGTCTGGCAAGTTTGGCTCCTCTTTGTTTCCGAACACCCTCTAGTAACCCAGAGCTTAATAAAATGGTACCAAATCGGAGAGCTTGATCTACCTTAAGACTCTTGTGTGTATCCTGTCAATAAACGCCACGATAGCAGTAATAAAGTGTCTATGTATTAATACACAGGTATGTTTGCACATATGTTCATTTGTATATATGTGGTGTGTGTACAGATTTATGTGGAAACACATAAAAGAAAACTCCTCCCCCTCTCCCCTTCGGCCTGCCACCCTATTTATTATGCTTTTGTTTCTCAAGTTTTAGAATTGCATCTCTAAATGAAATAGTAGTGGAGAGCACCACACAGCACTGTGGGGAGAGGAGCTGAGCCCTCCTGTCCCTCCCTTTGATTCTATCATGGGTGCAGAACAATGGAGATGCAGTGTAGCACCAGGCCTGCTGCCTGCAGATAAGAGTTTAATAGAATTTCTGAATGCCAAAGGTTTAGGATGTAAAATATCTCTGTCTTCGTGGTGTGTCCAAAGGAGATAGAAAACAGCTTTTCAGGAGTACTCTCTGCCGAATACTTCCTTTATATTTATGGTTTTAGGAGCACACCAGGCTTGCAAGCCATGGAAACGGGCACCATAAGGATTTCTAAAGCATCCTCTACAGTTTAAAATCATCAATATTTTTGTCACCCTCTTCTCCACAAAACTCCTGAAATGGAGAATTCCGTCAGTATCCTCACCCTGCTCTGTGGGTGGGACGGTGCTGCATCTGGTGATCCTTTAAGTCCTCAGTGTCAGGTAGGGGGCTGGCAGAGTTTGTAACGTGTGGGGCCGGGTGCTGCCGCTCTGCCCAGTGTCGGGGCTCAGGCTGCCTGCAGGGGAGGGCAGGACCGGCCCCCAGCAGCACGCTGCTCCCCCTGCCAGGCGCTGCCTCTGCTCTGTCTCATCTCTCTGTAGGCTCCTGGGGTTTCCGTCCATTTGTGAGCTCCCTCATGTTTTCGAAAATCTTCATTAAGTTGACAGTCAAGTCTTAATCATCTCGGTGGTGCTGGGGATAGAGCGGGGGGGAGCAGGAAAAAGCGCTGGGCTGGAAGGCGACCCTCCTACTTCCCACACCTCAGGCGGGTGCAGCGTGCCTCTGTTTCTCCCTCTATTTCTGAAAAGTTGTGATCACAGCACTAATGCTCCCTGTAGCGTGCTGATGCCTTTCGACTTGAGGCGGCGATGGGGTGGGGGGAGGGAAGGGGGATGTCTGGTGCTGCTGGCGTCCAGGTTCCCACCAAACAGAGGCATTTGTGAAGGAAAATGACTCGTGGAAAAATGCACACTTTTCTCACTTGGAAACAATTCCTGAACTGTTCTAGTTGCTGTTTTCTTTTAAGAGTTTTTTTTTTTTTGTGACATTTTTCTTCCTGTCACAAAGTCCAAAGTGTAACCCTGTTCGAGATGTGATCTGTCCTTCCTGGGGCGAGGTGATGTCTGCTGGGAATATGTTGTATCATTTATGTATTTATTTAAGAGGAGAAGAAAAAAAAATATTTATATACCTTTTAAGCACTCGCTTTTGAATATGTATATCAGCTAATAAGCAATACTTCCAGGTTCATAGAGGCGATAAATTTCCCAGTCTGTTCTTTATGGTGATAGGTCATCTTCCTAACCACCAATAAATATTGTAAAGTACTTTCGCTGGAGCTGTGCTAACCCAGGGCATCTGTCACTCGCTGCTTGCTGCTATTAGGAATTATTGGGCCGTACCATGCGTCGGGATGCGCGGGGGGGGGGGGGGGGGGGGGGGGGGAATGGCACGGCGCTTGTCGCGCTCGCCGTCCTTTTGTGTTGCTGCCATCAAAGGAGCCCCGAGCCTCGTGCATATTAATTATGAATCAGTTCAGGCGAAATCACTCACCTTCTGCTGGGTCTCGGGGAGGGGAGCGTGAGTCGAGAGGGGCTGGTGAGGCGGGGAGAGCCCCAACTCTCCGTGCACTCAAGTCAGCAGCTCCATCTCTCTCTCTCTTTTTGATGCTATACTGTAAATTTATTTCACCTCAGAGAGTAAACAGATATATTGCAACCCCAAGGGTTCATGGGTAGTGTATTTACAAAGGGAAGGCGCAGCAAGCCCCCTCTGTGCCATTTCCATTAATGAGAGCGGTCATTAAGTAAATGAGACATTGCCTTTAGCAGGCTTAAGAGTTCACACACTAAGGAGTATCAGATATTTAATTGAAACCAACAACCCGTCTTACACGCGTGTTACTGGTGTAGGGAAGTGGGCTGCCCTCCAAGAACTCTCCCCCCACAACCTCCCCCATGCAAATTTCATGATTGGTTTCCGTGATGTCATTTTGCAAAGGGGCAGACAATAGCTGTGGGGAAAGGTAAGTCAATATTATGTTCTTTCGCTGACAAAGGCAGATAATGCTGGCTTTTTTTCTTTTCTTTTCCTCTTCTTTTTTTCTTTCTTTTTTTTTCTTTTCTTTTTTTTTTCTTTTTTCCTCCCTTGGATTGAAGGAGAGAGGAAAGGCTTTCGGAGCACACAGTTGATGTAAACAGACGCAGGCGTTTCGCCTTTAGAGCACGAAGGCTGGGTTGTTGTTTTGAAAACTGCACTGGAGAACCGAGGGGATTTTATCATCATGCTCCTAGGTCCATCTTTGCTCGCTCGCTCTCTCGCCGGCTGCGAGATGCTAGTGGACATGTTCTGCTTCTGACTGAAAAGAGGTTGAATAAGGCGAGGAAGGAGGAGATATTTAAAAAAAAAAAAAGGGCATAACATCGCCTTCAGTCGGGAAACTTTCTGAATATTTCTGGAAGAGGATAAGAGGATGCTTGCCGGGTTTACAGACCGACAGCTCGGCGGATGTTTATCCGGAGGGAAGCGTGCTCGGTGTTAGCAGAAGACGCTCCGGGCGCCGGGACGGGCTCGCTCAGCCGCCGCGCTCCGCGGAGCTCTCTGAGGTGCTGATCGCGGCTCCGCGCTGCCCCGAGGGGCTCCCCGACCCCCTGCCGGCCTCCTCCAGCCCCGCTCCGGGGAGGCAGCGCGCTGCTCGCCGCCGGTACCGAGGGGTGCGTGCGTGTGCGTGTGTGTGTGTGTATATGTGTGTGTGCCGTGGGGGTTGCGCTTGCACGCTCGAGGCTCCTGCCCTGCGCTCGCTCTTGCCGCGAGCAGACTTTTT